ATCCTCTGCCTGACCCCCTCCTGCACCCACTCCACCCCATTATCTTCTTGATTCCTCCACATCTCATGCCCGGATACCCCCCCACTAGGAATGTTAATGGTTAACCAGTGGGGACTGGAGCCGCCTCCTGCCCACTGTGTAATTAGTTAACTGGTTAAACTTAACATTTAACTGGCTAACTAATTAAATGGGATTTTACATCCCTACCCGGTAACTCCAGCACTGACCCCTGCTTTCCCTTGTTCCCCTGCACCTCCTACGCTGACCTCCGTTATCTCCTCCCTCTGACCTTCCCTGTGCCTCCTGCACTGATCCCCCAGTGGATTTACTGTCCATTTTTCATCTTCTATTGTGTATTATTCCTTCCATTCCTACCCTACCACACCAAGAGACCTGACATTCCCTCATTAACGATTCCCTTCTCGCCAATATGCCAATCACTGCAGTTTGTGTTGTCGCTCACGTAATGGTACCCCCTTTTCATGCCTTCTGCCACCTCTTTTCCTGTTTATTTCCACTCAGTTGGCCAGACACCAGGGCCTTAGGGCATCCATATCCTGCTTCCTGAGCCAGGTTCAGAGCACTGGCATAGGATAAACCTTGCCTTTTCCCTACCTTTTCACCACACTAAGCTTCTAAATTTTTTGTCTAGTTGCTTATGTGATCCAGCATGAATTTGAGGGGGTCACTGACTGCCCTGTTCTGAGTGACACAGGTTTGTCCTGGGTTATGCCGTGTGGCACTTGGTGGCGTCTTGTGCCAAATGGCGCTTTTTGCATCAAATTGTCATCCTGAGGTGTGTGCTGTTCTCTCTTCATTGCTCAAATCTCTCGCTTTCTGAATCATGTAATGAACAGTGTTTGCCTTGATGCTTTGCACATGAAATTTGAGCAGAACACAGGAATATGCGAGGAGGTATGTGCAGAATAGTGCATTAAACAGAGTATTAGATGGAGGACATGAGTCTTAGGAGATGGGCATAGGGAAACAGAAACATCTGTTGCTGGCTCTGGAGAGACAGGGAATGTTGGACAGAAATGTGAAATATTCAGGGAGTGGAAAAAAATTGTAAAATACTGATTAATTCAAGTTTTGGGGGGGGTTCAGTGGAGGAGCATGAAGACTCACTGGGAGACTTGGATTTGAATTTTAATGGCTAGGAAAGCAATGAAAATTTTTGAGTTTGGAAGTAATATGTACCTTGCGTCTAGAAAGGCACAGCATTTTGCGCGGGCTATGTCCACACTGCAGTAGGCAAGGCAAGATTGCAACGCATGTTGGGATGCCCAAGCTAACTTTGGTCGAGCTAGGTCACTCAAAATAGCTGAGGCAGCACCAGGAGTCAGTATGGGCTAGCTGCCTGCGTATGATCCTGTTTGGCAGCTTGCCTGTGCTGCTGCAGCTATGCCGCTGTCTTCAAAGGTAACTACGCTATGCCTAAGCATGCTGGAATTGTACCTCCTGATTGCAATGTAGATATTAGAATTGGGCAGCCTCCATATTGGGATTTGAAGAAACAATAAATAAGGGTTAAAGACCTCCAGAAACCTGTGGTTTATTAACACTGCTCCAGGGCTGCTGTCTTAACACAGTCTCTTTGCTGTTAGCTTTGTGCCAGTTGGAAGGGTATTCACTCTCATGTTCAATCTGGCTGGCAGTAGGCTTGCAAACCAAAAGCTTTCCATTTAGTGTTGTGCATTGACTGGTGCTAATGAGGTGTGACCAGAGCTCCCCCATGTGCGTGTTGCACATAAACGTAGGGTCTATCATAATCTTGGGAACAGAACAAATCTGCAGTGTAGGAGCATTGAAGATATATACCACACAGTGCATATCGGCTCATTTGAGTTAAAAGTGCATTTTTATTTGTAAGCTCCTTGGAGAAATTATCAGCCTCGGCATCAAATCATCACCTTTGTGTAGAACTTGGAAAAAACATCACTTTCAAACAAAGATTGCATGTTTAACTTGAAGTGTTTCTCATCTACCACCCTCACAGAAAAAGGGGCAATGTCATTATTTCACATTTTAACCCATGTTTTACAGTTTTGAGTGTGAAAAATAGAGGACGAGATTACAAAAGGCGGTGAATTATAGTGATGGTGTTTGGTGTTATCTAAGTTTTGGAACTGGCCACCAGATTCATAACCACGGGGAAGCAAAAGGGAAATTAAGAATTGAGCTGTACCTCAGCACCCTCAATAAGAACTGAGAGAGGTGCTGGGGAGAAGATATTTTCTGAGGTATAAACAGGAATTAAACATTCAGCTTCCATGGAAAGTTAATAGAAGTAGGTGCCCAGTCCCCATTTTGTGCATATGACAATCTCCACCTTTATTGATACGGTGACAGGAGTATCACAAGACAATTTGTCAGCTACGAGTTCAAGATCCATCCCTCACAATGAGACGGAAGGTGATTAAGGCACCTTTTGATAGCCATGGAAAATTGTATATTTTTGAGTACACCCATTCCTTGGCTACAGGCATTTTCATCTAAGGGTATTTCTATGCTGCAGCTGGGAGAGAGTCTGTCGGCCAAGGATGCTAGCCCTGCTTGAGGTAGTGTGCTAAAAATAGCATTGGGAATGTTGTAGCACAGGTGTCTTCTCTGGCTAGCTCCTTTGGACCCTGTCGGTACCAGCTCGGGTGGCTTGCCCAAGCTGCTGCCTTGTTTTTAGTGTGCTAGCTCAGGCAGAACTTGTCTGGCAGGAGTTGGGAGGGCACAATCCCAGGTACAGTGTAAACACACTGTTGTTAACCCATGCAGGCACAGGTGTGCCTAGGGATAGCAAATGCTAGCTAGTTTCATTTCCCCTGTAAAGCACAGTCACATTAAGCACATTGAGCAGGAAGCCATGAGAAATGGTGTGGTAGATGTTTATATGCCAAAGGCATAACTAACGCCTGGATCGTTAACCGAGGATACTAGTGTTTTGCTTCACTTCTGTATAGGCTATGGGGGGATTTTAGCAGATGGCTGAAGCAGCTGGTGTGGGCAAAGGCAGCTGACTGATTGGAGCACAGAGCTTTGAAGCACTCATGCATATACAGTATGTAGGCAGGCAGTAAATAAGGAGGGTGCTCGAGTTGTTCCTAACCTCCTGTAACAATTATGTTTCAAATGTGCTTTAGTTCCTATGAATTTTTTCCTAAAAACGGGTGTCTTGGACATATTGGCTTGGATTTGTTTTTCCAGTTGCAGATAAGTTGTTTTGGTCAGCTAGTGTATGGTCTGGATGTGTAAGCAGGGTTAGGAAAAAATGTTATTGAAGGATTGCTCGTTGAAGTGCAAAGTCTTAAGAATCTAGATGTCAGCATCAAATGGATACAATTAAAATAGTCAGCAATGACTAGTTCACTATGGAATCTGCAAAGATAATTAGGGGATAGTTTTATCATTTCGTTTTCTCAGTTCTGAGCCTTACAGCCTTTCAGGGGAAGACGTATCATTCTACCCCAAATAGCTAAAGAGCCAAGTGACACATACTGGTAGAGGGAGAGTGAAATAAAGAGGCAAAAGAAAAAGTTGAAGTTTGCCTAAAGAGCTTCAGACGACAAGACAGTGGATGAGAAGGTGAATGACTTATCCAGAAGTCACACAGCTAGTTAGTGGCAGAGGCAGGATCAAACCCAGCCCCTCTAGACCAAATTGCCTTAGCTTCAGTTGTTAGGATTTGTAAAGTTCTTTGAGATCCTTAGATGACACTAAAGTATCTCCATCATAGATAAGTCACAGGGAGGACATTTTTGGTCTAGAAGAACGAGAGAATCATAGGGTTGGAAGAGCCCTCAGGAAGTCATTGAATCCAACTTTCCTGCCCAAAGCAGGACCAACCCCAACTAAATCATCCCAGCCAGGGCTTTGTCAAGCTGGGACTTAAAAACCTCTAGGGATGGATATTCCACCATCTCCCTAGGGAACCCATCCCAGTGCTTCCCCACCCTCCTAGTGAAATAGTATTTGATAATATCCAATCTAGACCTCCCCCACTGCAACTTATCATCTGTCACCACTGAGAATGGCCTCTCTACATCCTCTTTGGAACCCCCCTTCATGTAGTTGAAGGCTGCTATCAAATCCCCCTTCAATCTTCTCTTCTGTAGACTAAATTAGCTCAAATCCCTGAGCCTGTCTTCATAAGTCAAGTGCTCCAGCCCCCAGACATTTTTTCCCTCTGCTGGACTTTCTCTAATGTGTCCACATCCTTTCTGTAATGGGGGGCCTAGAATTAGACACAGTACTCCAGATGTGGCCTCACCAGTGCCGAATAAAGGAGAATAATCACTTCCCTAGATCTGCTAGCTGTGTTCCTACTAATGTACCCCAATATGCCTTCTTGGCTACAAGGGCACAGTGTTGACTCATACCTAGCTTCTCATCCACTGTAATCCCCAGGTCGTTTTCTGTACTGAAAGGCAGAGGAGGCTGATGCTGGGTTAATGGTCAAAGTCTTTGAGGTGTGTTGGTGCAAGTTCGAGGGTTTTACAGATAAGGAGGCCAATTTTGAATCGAGTCATGAACCTATGTAATTATTCAAGACTGAGGATGATGTGATGCTCTTGCTTGGAAGAAGGCAGAATATTGCACTTTCTGCAGTTGGGGGAATTGCAATAATGAAGTGGAAAAGAGACTTAAGGCTTGTCTACACTGCAGAAGATACAGTGGCAGAACTGGTGCTGCAGCTCTGGTCCTGCAATCCTGCAGCATAGATTCATACTGCACTGACAGGGTTTTTTCCCTTACTGTAGTAATTCTACTTCCTTGAGCAACAGGAGCTAGGTTGAAGGAAGAAGGCTTCCACATCTACATTGGGGGTTTAAGGCAATAGAGCTGCAGCTCAGGGGTGTCAGTGCTGTAGCTATGTCAACCTAAGTTTAAGTGTAGAGATCAGACTTAAAATCTGAATGAAGAGTCATCAGAAGTGGATCAGAAAAACTGGGGCAGTGACAGAGGCAGTGTTTCAGAGGTCTCATGGAGAGGTTCCCAGGTATGGATAAGGAAGGAGAAAGAAAGAGCAGAATCCAGTCTGACAAGTTATGTACACTGAATGCAAATGGGAGGTTGTTGAGGGCTTACAGTATGTGGGCTTGAGGATACCGCTTTTCCCCAAGAGAATCCTTTTTGTCTCTGAACTCTTGCTAAACTGGAGTGACAGATGATTAAACTGATTATGTGCCAGAGCTTGAAATTTTCAAAAGCATCTTTGTTTCATTTACTGTTGTAATGTCAGGCTAGTTATCAATGCAGATGTACTCTCTCACTGCTTGGATTGCTAGAGAATTAACAAAATTGTCCTTTGGTAGTGACTGGTTCTGGTACCCCCGTGATCAGTACATTTAAGTCTGCATTGAAAGTTTTTTCTATTTCTAGTACATGCATTTCCTGTACTCTAAACTCTTGCATTCTCTGACAAGTGCTGAACAGTTGTTTAGATTTGTGTACATCTGCAATTTGTTCCTTTTATGATTCAAAATAAAATAGCTATGGTCTAGTGTCCACTAGTTTTGTAGCTTCTTACGCTCTGAGCCTTGTTAGGAACCTTCTTTCTAATCCATGTGTGTACAGATCCCTAATGTAGCAGATGCTTGTGATTTTTAGTATCCTTGATGCCATTTATTAATTGCTAGTATTACAACTTACTGATATTGCAGTAGTACCTTGGAGGCACAGTAATGAATCAGGATCCCATTATGAGAGACATAAAATTTGTCTGTCTTCTGCAGATTAGTTGTATAAAATTGTCCAGTGAAAAGAAAGTTGCTTGTGATATGCGTCTAAAATTTCATTTGCTCAGCAACCTTTCCAGTCCCACTTCATTTATGAGCGTTGTTGAGCTAATTCCTTAATAGCTGCTTATGTACGTTTGATGCGTCTTTAGAAATGCTTTGCAGGCCTAATTTGTTCTGCTGAAATGGTGCAATTCCTGTGAATGTGCCACGTTCAGTAATGGCATTTGTTGGGTGGAAAATGGGTGTAAGTGGCCAAGTACGATACACTCACTTTGCCTGGCCCTGTATAGCACAAGGTAACTTACAAATCAAGAGAGGGATGTGCGGGGCAGGTGCAATAGGCAGGTGGAAACAAATGTAGGAAGCAGCCTGCCTTGTTAGTTGCATTTCCTGCCTGCCTACCTCTCATTTTGCTTACCCAATGATTTACGGATTGGTCCATTTACACCTACACTCTATTTTACCACTCCTGGTATCTTTTACATGTCAGTTTCCCACTGAATTTGGTCCTGAATCTCCACTAGATTTGTCTATGCTGTGTGTTATATAAACTTATATGTGTAAATTATTGCTTTGTTTTATGTTTTTCTTGACTTAGACTTATAGAAAAATCTACCTCTGTTTTTCTATGCCAATCTCTTTGATTGTATTCTTGTAGGTGAAACATGGGACAGTTTCCGTGGAACGCTAGGTGACTTCTTGACATCCCGGTTACCATGACACTCAGCAGAGGACCATGGGAATAAAGTGGGAATGCCTCCCTGCCCTCAAACACCTAATGGCCTCAACTAGGTAAGAACCAAGTAAGACTAAAGAGTTAGGAACTTTCTCCTGCCTTCACAGATTATCTCAAACACACGTTCTAGGGCTAGAAACTAGCATTTCTCAACCTGGGTATCGAGACCCAAATTTGAGTTGCCAGAATGTTTCAAAGGATTATGTGGCAGTTCCTGTCCCTCTGGGCTCAGCTCGCTGCCCTAGGCATTGCAATCTCTGGGGTCTGAGGAGCGCCAGTCAGGTTTGGTCCAGTCATCATCATGATGGTTGTCCAGGTAGGACAAATTTAAATGAGCAAACCCATGAGCCAGGTCATAATTGGACTCATGCAAATTTGGTCCAGGAGTGGGGCCAAACCTGAGCGTTGCAATTACTCTGGAGGTTGCAGAGTCCCCAGCTGAGAACCAAGCCCAGCTAGCTCCACAGCATAGCAGCTGCAGGAGCCACTGCTCTTGGGTGAGTGCTGGGCAGGACCTGACCTGGGTTGCAACAGGCCATAAACATTTATACATGAGACCTGGGCCCAAGAGGGTGGAGAACCACAGGTCTGCGGTACAAACTCTTGCTGGAATGGCTTTGTTGGTCAGAGTTGTGATCTCCCACATGAAGACAGAGTGGCAAGAGAGTGCTTTTGCTTGTATAAGTTGCTTCTAGACAAGGAGTGCTTGGTGGCCGTACCCTCCAGGCAAAACGCTTCTAGCATAGTCCTGGCTAGTGCTTAAGGAATTCTTCCTGATTGTGAGGCGTCATAAAAAGGATAATGGGTGCCAAAACTCTAGAGTAACTTTGTTTTATCAACAGCTGTCGCAGCCCTGTTGTATCACACTCCCTGTTAGTTGCTCTACAGGTGCATAACTATGAAAATATTCTTCTATTAGAGGTGTGTGTGTGTGTGTGTGTGTGTGTGTGCAGTGCATTGCCTGCCTCTGGCATTGCACCCTGGTGTGCATACCCACTCCCCTCATCACTGGAGGTATTTAACTTCCAGTAGACTTACAGGGCTCTGCTGAGTCACCCTGTCTTTGCGCCACCACTCTAAAAGCTTGAGTCATTGGTTGGTAAGAGACTATAATGATAGGTCAAAAACACCAATGAACTTGTGCCTTCATCCTCTGTTTTTTTTCTCCCTCCACCCTCTGCTAGGGCTCACCTGGTGTTCTAACATCATGGGGAGCTGCTACAGCTGCCTGTGCGGAGACAGTCTCCCAGACAACCACCCCACCAAGTTTAAGGTAATACCCTTTATCCTTGAGGGAAAACTCTGCAATTCCCCACAGCCACTAGGAACCAAGGCATGCAAAGTACAATCCAAACTTCATGGAACGTAGGCTCTGAAGCCTCTTCTCTTATCCAGCAATTCTTCTGTACGGACAGACTTGCAAATATGCTGCTGAATTTTAAGCAGGGAATCCCCTGTTTGCTGGCTCCACCCTCAGTCATGTAGAAAGATTTTTATTGGCACCGAGTTTGTCTCCTAGTTCCAAAAGAGAAATCGATGCAATGGGAAAGGAAAATTGGATGGATTACGTGTTGGGGAGCCTTTCAGATTGGGCCCAAGTCCATGCTATCGCCATATGGTAGCTATTTGGTGGCCTGTGTGAAATGAGTCAGTGCGTTTGAGCCTGATTGGCTGTAAATAGGTCTCTGGGTTGTAAAAGCACCAGCACAGCTGGCAGTAGTTGAACCATTTGACAGTTTTAGCAGAGGCGCCAAGAATTGGAGAGAGTCTGAGCTCTCCTCTTCCCACTCAAGGGTGTTCCCCCTTATGCCTGTGTTGAGACACAGTAATTAAGCTGGTGTGTTGCTGCAGTCTCCAGGGATGTCCGTATTCCACCTTTTACCAGTTAGGAATTCACACTCGGCCTTTCCTGTCATCCAGGAGCAAGGCATGTTAGTGAGTCAAGGGAGAGAGTTCTCGGGTTGCTATTGCTTCTAAGCACACTTACTTCTGTAATTTCTCCTTTGTGAGCCTCCTGATGTGAGCTTTGATGCTTCTGCAGGTAACAAACGTGGACGATGAGGGTAACGAGCTGGGATGTGGGATTATGGAGCTAACGCAGATGGAGCTCATCTTGCACACTCACAAGCGGGATGCTGTCAGGTGGCCGTACCTTTGCTTGCGCCGTTATGGCTATGACTCCAACCTCTTCTCCTTCGAGAGCGGGCGCCGCTGCCAGACCGGACAAGGTGCCATGCCTTTTGGGGAAACTAACTAGTCTAAAACTTTCAGTTGCAGAATGCAGTAACTGCTTGGTGCTGATTCCTTCCCTGCTTATGATATCTAGGAAACCTGCTTTATAAACTCTGCCTTTTTGTGTTTACAATTTGCCTTTTGCAGGATTCAGATCAGTTGTTGGAATGCTGTTACATTCACTTGGATTTTCTACAGAGCTCTAGATATTACTGATAGGGTAGAGTTAGTCACTCTTCATGTACAAAGAGATCTTTCAGAGGACGCAAGCTAAATCATCCAAGTCCTCTATATTAAGGATGTTAAATTGAGGTTATCTGGTTAATCGTGTAGTCGATATAATTGTATCGACTACACGACTAGTCGATAAGAACTGCTCTGCAGAGCCACAGCGGGGGTAGCTCCAGGAGCCGGCTCGAGCCAGGGCTGAGCAGTGGCTCTGCATTTTAAATGTAGAAAGAGCCGCTGAGCTCTTACTACATTTGAAATGCAGAGGCACAGCATCTCAGACCAGCGTGAGCCGGGACTGCTCAGTCCCAGCTCGCGTTGAATCCAGCAGTCTCTGTTTGTGGTGGCCAGCCCTGTCCGCCGTGAACAGGGGGTGCTCCCGGAGAAGCCGGTGCCCATAGAGAGCCTCGACCTGCCATGGGCAGAGGCTGCTTCGCTGCAGCATCCCCTTTTCTTCCCCTGCTGCCTCTGATGGAGGCAGTGGGCCAGGGCGGCACCACGGAGATGGTGCTGAGGGGAGCCAGCTTTTAAGTTTCTGGGCGCCACATTTCAAGAAAGATGTGGAGAAATTGGAAAGGGTACAGAGAAGAGCGACAAGAATGATTAAAGGTTTAGAGAACATGACCTATGAAGCCAGGCTTCGTGAACTGGGCTTGTTTAGTTTGGAAAAACGAAGATTAAGGGGGGACATGATAGTGGTTTTCAAATATCTAAAAGGGTGTCACAAGGAGGAAGGAGAAAATTTGTTTCTCTTGGTTTCTGAGGACAGGACAAGGAGTAATGGGCTTAAAGTGCAGCAGGGGAGGTTTAGATTGGACATTAGGAAAACATTCCTAACTGTCAGGGTGGTCAAATATTGGAATAAATTGCCAAGGGAGGTGGTGGAATCTCCCTCTCTGGAGATATTTAAGAACAGGTTAGATAGACATCTGTCAGGGATGGTGTAGGTGGAGCTTGGTCCTGCCTTGAGGGCGGGGGGCTGGACTCGATGACCTCTCGAGGTCCCTTCCAGTCCTATGATTCTATGATTCTCATAGGGGCAGCGTGGAGGGGGAAGCAAGTAGTCAACTACCCAATAAGCTTACGTTTATCAGATAGTTGACTGCTTGCTAACATCTCTACTCTGTATGTGAGGATAAATTATATGGAAGTCACGGTATTTTGATCAGTGTACGTTTCTTTTGGTTCTTTTCCTGTTCATAGGAGACTTTCTCACATTCCGTAAATTAGTGTATATAACCCGCACCCATGCATAACCTGCAGTTTTTCCTGATTGTATTAAAAAAGTGTTAGATAACCCACGCACGTGTATAGCCCGTGGGAGATGAACAGCACCTGTAATTAAGTGTTAATGAACCACAGCTGATGACTCTGAGCAGTAAGTATGCTACAACCCTTATTGCTGGTATATAACCTCTTTGAACCACACTGTTCTACCATTTGTTTATTCCTTTTTAAACATGCCTAAGTGCAAATCCTACACAGCCGATTTTAAATTGTGTATTGTGACATATGCAAAGGACAATGGAAACAGAGCGGCAGGGAGAAAATACTCTGTAAACGAAAAGTCTGTTCGGGAGTTGAGAAAGGAAGAAGCAGAGCTTGAGAAATTTCATCCTAGGAAAAGAACACAACGTGGAAAGAAAGCCAAGTGGCCAAATCTGGAAGAAAACCTGTTGAAGTGGGTTCATGCACAGAGAGAGGACAGACGGGCAGTGTCAGTGGTAGCCTTACAGCTCGAGACTCGACTTATGGCTATGGAACAGAAAATCTATGATTTTAAGGGGGGCTCGGGAAATTGGGTGTACAAATTTATGCGGAAAAACAATCTGTCAGTTCATACATGGACATCTGCTGGCCAACGGCTTCCTGACGAATGGGAGAAGAAAATGGGTGACTTTAAAACTTTTGTATGTAAAGAAATTCACCAGCTGGGCTTGAAACCAAGCAATGTTATTAACATGGATGAGCTGCCCATGTCATTTGATATATCTGCTACACGGTGTGTTGCGGAAACTGGATCGAAAACAGTCTGTGTAGCAACCACTGGTCATGAACGCACCTGTTTTACTGCAGTGTTGGCATGCACGGCACATGGTGATAAATTAAAACCAATGGTGATTTTTAAGAGGGTAACGATGGCTAGAGAAAAACTGCCAGCTGGCGTTTGTGTGGTTTGTAACAAAAAGGGCTGGATGAACACAGATGTTATGAAGATGCGGACAGACAGCTGCTTTCGTGCATGAAAAGGTGGGTTTTTTTAAAATCCTAAATCTCTGCTGGTTTTAGATTCCTTGGCCGCTCACAAAGAAACTTCAGTTCAGAAACACATAAATGCCTTGGGTGCGCATATCGCCATAATTCCAGGTGGACTGACCTGCAAGTTGCAAACACTTGATGTAGCTGTCAACCACTTCATCTGAGAGGAATGGGACAATTGAATGACAGATGGGGAACACACATTCACTCCGGCAGGTCGACAGCGCCGTGCAACTTACGTGGAAGTTTGCAAATGGGTTTTGGCTGCTTGGGACAGAATAAAGCTGGCTACTATTCACAGTGGGTTCTGTAAATGTGAAATTCTTCCCGACGTTGACTCGTCTAGCTCTGAATCTGACTGTCAGCAATTCTGATTTGGTACCACAGACCTCAGCTGTCATCGAAGCTCACCTAGCCTTGGTTATGGAGTTAGTAGTTGTTTTTCAAGGCAGCGACTGTGATGAAAGTTTTGACGGTTTTGAAAACTCAAGACGCTGACGAGGATACTGCTGGCGCTGATTGTAGCAATCAGAATGAATGAACTTATGTATTTTATGACAACGCAAGGATGGCTTTTTTTAAACAGTTTTACCATATATTTATTATTTTACTAATTGCACAGTAAAGTTCTAACTTTAATGTATTTTAACATCACTGCTTCTGTTATTTAATTAAAATATGCTGCTTTTATCAAGTAAGTCAGCCTTGTCTTCCTGTACTTTCAGTTAAAAAAAAAACAACACAACAACCTGTATAACATGTGGATGAGTACAGCCTGCTTGCGGGGTGGGGGGCGAGGTTTGCATAACCTGCGGGTTGTATACGCTAAAACACGGTAATGGATTTTGGATGATTTCTCCTTGCTCCTCTTTCCTTCCCCCAGTAAGTAAGATGGATGCATGTATTTTCTAGCAAGAAGATCTTTCAATTTTTTCTTCAGAGTAGTAGCAGCAGCTGTTGCCATGCTGTTTGTCCTTGTTGCTATGTCTTTTGGGCATGTGTGAGAGTGCCAGCATGTGATTGGTTAGTTCTGCACACACTAGTAATTGGTCAAACCATTTATCTGGAGAGCCAACGTTGAATCTGGTTTTTAAAAGTGGGGTGTGATTGCCCTTCCCTTCCAGAAGTATTCCAGGTGTCTAATCCAATTCCCATTAGAGTCTGTGGGGAAAAAGATGGTTGGGGTTGGATTGGGACCCAGATAAATTGAAATAATGGAAATCAGAGGTGAAGAATATGATCTGTGACTAGTATGCTATTGTATCCAGTGGAGTTAGCTAATATAAAATTAGCATTAGATGCACCAATTAGTTAATCAACTAGCAGCTGTGATGTTCTGTTTCTACAGCAGGGTATTCCATCCAGAAATGTTACATATGAGTGAGTTTAAATATTGACAATATCTTCAACAAAATATTTCCAAAATGTGTGTGTAGAGAACTATCAGAATTGTCTAACAAGATCAGACTAGTTGTCAGTTTAATTTAGTTTCTTGTTTGAAATATAGGCTCGCACCCTGAATTGTAAGGCGAATGGAAGAAACTTCATAATGAACAATTATGTAACAACTGGCCTACTGAGGAAGTTTCTTCCTAACCCACACATTTAGTATTTGACCTGTACCCTGAAGCACGAGTCTTGCAGATTTGTGTGCTATCTAATGGCAGAGTGAATAGCCCCATTACCTGTATATCTGATCTGCTTTTTTTTAGTCCTGCCAAGCTCTTGACTCTCTCCTGTGACAGTGAGTTCCCCAGGTCAATTGTGTTGTGTTTAACACAAACCTTTTAAAATCAGACTTTACAATTGCTTGGAACAGCTAGACTACATTCATTAAACTAAAAATTGTCCTCTTCTCTCCCAACTCCATCTTTGTATTTTGCACAGGGATATTTGCCTTCAAGTGTTCAAGGGCGGAGGAGATCTTTAACCTGCTGCAGGACCTGATGCAGTGTAATAGCATCAATGTGGTGGAGGAGCCAGTTGTCATCACTAGGGGCAGTCACTCCACCGAGCTGGAACTACCCAGGACACCCCAGACACCCAACAGTAAGGCTTCTGGAGTGCCAGATTCAAGGGAGCGTAGGGTATAGGAAGTATATCCTAGTTTGTCTCCATGTTGGTTCTCCCAGTCAAGGTTACATTCCCCCATGTGGCTGGTGTTAGCTGGCTTGTCTTTTAGCTGGGCCTGGAGGCCTCACACATGTTCTGTGCAGCATGCTTAAAGCTCCACTCTTTGCAGATGTGGTACCTTGTTCCCAAGGAAATGGGAACAAAATCTGCAAGTTATCAACCTAGTTCTCAGGCTCCAGTCAGATTCCTGTTGGATCCCTGCCATGTGGCCTCCCCAGGGATCAGCAGGCTCTTGAGGGAAACCTCAACTAGAAGAACTTGTGTTTCCTGCCTTCATAGATGAGACTTAGGTGCTGGTAAATGTAACTCAGGGAGCCTAGCTGTAGGAGTCTTCCCCAGCCAGGTAGGCTCTGCCTTTCCAGCATGCCTGATTAATAAGGCCCGTTGACAAGCTGCCCCTGGTGCAGCTGCAGCCACATCTGAATGCTTGCCCGGTGGGGTGCTTTGTGTCTAAAACAAGTCTCTCTGAATTCTCCCCAGCTCTGGCGTACACTGTTCCAGGGTTCCCCAATGGATTCCACAGCTTCCCTGGGGAAATCCCAACCTACTCCACAGCCCGACACCCTTCCATGAATAGCTTGAGACACTCCTCCATTGGGGAGGACTCCACACATGCCCTCATTGGGGCAGACGAGCAGGTAAGACCAGGTCTTGTGAGCGCCATGGCTGCAGGGAACTTGTCGCATGTCTGCTCCTCCTCTCCTGGGATTCTTGTGGGATGCCTTGGCTTGTATATCTGGCTTATGCTGAGGAAGCCCAGAGACCCTCTAACCTTGTCATTTACTGCTTCTTGGCCGTTTTACTTAGTTTCACTGTTGGAGAGTTGCACCTTTCTAACTACTTGCTGGACAGCATCTCTCAGCAAAGGCTGGGTGTAACTTCTCTGCTCCATAAGTAACGATCTGTCCTTTGTTTGGACAGCAGATGCAATTCCCTCCTGAGACTGAGTCCGCTGCTTCTGCATTTCTACCAGCCCCATGCTAAACTCTAGGCTGGATCCCCAAGCTCAGACTCTGTTGTGCTACCACCACAGTGCCTGGGCTGCTGGTCTTTAGGATCATAGGACTTACCATACCACATCAGTCTATTAGACACGGTGTCTTATCTCTGTCACTGTCGGATAGCTGCTGCTGCAGAGCCAGGCAAACCTAGGCAGGCATGGGCTCCCTCCTCATGTCATTTGTCTCCTCAGATATTTTTATATAAACCATCCAAGAAGATCATGCACCTTGTGTAGATGGAATTTCATATGCTCCACACTGGAGTTTGGACTCGAGACTAGGGATGTTAAAAAGTGGTTCATTGGGTAGCCGTGTAACCACTGAAAATCTTAATGGTTACATGCAGCGGTCTGTGCAATATAAAGTTTATACCGCAGAGCAAGCAGTGTGGCCAGCTCTTCAGGAGCAAGGCCGGCAGCCCATGTGTGCTGGGAGCTGGTTGCCGGCCCCACTCCCAGGAACCTGGCTGTGCTATGGCCTCTGCAGTAGAAGCTTTATACTGCAGAGCCTGCAACACAGGGTGGCAGCTGGCTCCCAGGGAGCTGACATGTGCTGGGTGCCGGTTTTTAAGCTGTGTGCTCTGGCTCTCGGTTCCCAGTCCCGCTCCCGGTGAACTAGCTGCTATTCTGCGCTGTGGGTTGTGGCTGCTTCCCGGGAGTGGTGCCTGGAGCCAGTGTATAACCATTACGTTAACTGATTAAGCATGAGCTTATTGGTTCACCATTTACATGGCTATTCCGTTACATCCCTACTTGAGACCTGTTTAAAAGTGTATCATCGTTGTTTTGTTTTAAACCATCTCACGTGCACAAGTTGCTGACGCCGAAAGGAGCCTTTGCGAGGGCAGTTCTGTGCTGCAGGCTTTGCAGGCTTTGTGATGTTCTGTTTCTACAGCAGGGTATTCCATCCAGAAATGTTACATATGAGTGAGTTTAAATATTGACAATATCTTCAACAAAATATTTCCAAAATGTGTGTGTAGAGAACTATCAGAATTGTCTAACAAGATCAGACTAGTTGTCAGTTTAATTTAGTTTCTTGTTTGAAATATAGGCTCGCACCCTGAATTGTAAGGCGAATGGAAGAAACTTCATAATGAACAATTATGTAACAACTGGCCTACTGAGGAAGTTTCTTCCTAACCCACACATTTAGTATTTGACCTGTACCCTGAAGCACGAGTCTTGCAGATTTGTGTGCTATCTAATGGCAGAGTGAATAGCCCCATTACCTGTATATCTGATCTGCTTTTTTTTAGTCCTGCCAAGCTCTTGACTCTCTCCTGTGACAGTGAGTTCCCCAGGTCAATTGTGTTGTGTTTAACACAAACCTTTTAAAATCAGACTTTACAATTGCTTGGAACAGCTAGACTACATTCATTAAACTAAAAATTGTCCTCTTCTCTCCCAACTCCATCTTTGTATTTTGCACAGGGATATTTGCCTTCAAGTGTTCAAGGGCGGAGGAGATCTTTAACCTGCTGCAGGACCTGATGCAGTGTAATAGCATCAATGTGGTGGAGGAGCCAGTTGTCATCACTAGGGGCAGTCACTCCACCGAGCTGGAACTACCCAGGACACCCCAGACACCCAACAGTAAGGCTTCTGGAGTGCCAGATTCAAGGGAGCGTAGGGTATAGGAAGTATATCCTAGTTTGTCTCCATGTTGGTTCTCCCAGTCAAGGTTACATTCCCCCATGTGGCTGGTGTTAGCTGGCTTGTCTTTTAGCTGGGCCTGGAGGCCTCACACATGTTCTGTGCAGCATGCTTAAAGCTCCACTCTTTGCAGATGTGGTACCTTGTTCCCAAGGAAATGGGAACAAAATCTGCAAGTTATCAACCTAGTTCTCAGGCTCCAGTCAGATTCCTGTTGGATCCCTGCCATGTGGCCTCCCCAGGGATCAGCAGGCTCTTGAGGGAAACCTCAACTAGAAGAACTTGTGTTTCCTGCCTTCATAGATGAGACTTAGGTGCTGGTAAATGTAACTCAGGGAGCCTAGCTGTAGGAGTCTTCCCCAGCCAGGTAGGCTCTGCCTTTCCAGCATGCCTGATTAATAAGGCCCGTTGACAAGCTGCCCCTGGTGCAGCTGCAGCCACATCTGAATGCTTGCCCGGTGGGGTGCTTTGTGTCTAAAACAAGTCTCTCTGAATTCTCCCCAGCTCTGGCGTACACTGTTCCAGGGTTCCCCAATGGATTCCACAGCTTCCCTGGGGAAATCCCAACCTACTCCACAGCCCGACACCCTTCCATGAATAGCTTGAGACACTCCTCCATTGGGGAGGACTCCACACATGCCCTCATTGGGGCAGACGAGCAGGTAAGACCAGGTCTTGTGAGCGCCATGGCTGCAGGGAACTTGTCGCATGTCTGCTCCTCCTCTCCTGGGATTCTTGTGGGATGCCTTGGCTTGTATATCTGGCTTATGCTGAGGAAGCCCAGAGACCCTCTAACCTTGTCATTTACTGCTTCTTGGCCGTTTTACTTAGTTTCACTGTTGGAGAGTTGCACCTTTCTAACTACTTGCTGGACAGCATCTCTCAGCAAAGGCTGGGTGTAACTTCTCTGCTCCATAAGTAACGATCTGTCCTTTGTTTGGACAGCAGATGCAATTCCCTCCTGAGACTGAGTCCGCTGCTTCTGCATTTCTACCAGCCCCATGCTAAACTCTAGGCTGGATCCCCAAGCTCAGACTCTGTTGTGCTACCACCACAGTGCCTGGGCTGCTGGTCTTTAGGATCATAGGACTTACCATACCACATCAGTCTATTAGACACGGTGTCTTATCTCTGTCACTGTCGGATAGCTGCTGCTGCAGAGCCAGGCAAACCTAGGCAGGCATGGGCTCCCTCCTCATGTCATTTGTCTCCTCAGATATTTTTATATAAACCATCCAAGAAGATCATGCACCTTGTGTAGATGGAATTTCATATGCTCCACACTGGAGTTTGGACTCGAGACTAGGGATGTTAAAAAGTGGTTCATTGGGTAGCCGTGTAACCACTGAAAATCTTAATGGTTACATGCAGCGGTCTGTGCAATATAAAGTTTATACCGCAGAGCAAGCAGTGTGGCCAGCTCTTCAGGAGCAAGGCCGGCAGCCCATGTGTGCTGGGAGCTGGTTGCCGGCCCCACTCCCAGGAACCTGGCTGTGCTATGGCCTCTGCAGTAGAAGCTTTATACTGCAGAGCCTGCAACACAGGGTGGCAGCTGGCTCCCAGGGAGCTGACATGTGCTGGGTGCCGGTTTTTAAGCTGTGTGCTCTGGCTCTCGGTTCCCAGTCCCGCTCCCGGTGAACTAGCTGCTATTCTGCGCTGTGGGTTGTGGCTGCTTCCCGGGAGTGGTGCCTGGAGCCAGTGTATAACCATTACGTTAACTGATTAAGCATGAGCTTATTGGTTCACCATTTACATGGCTATTCCGTTACATCCCTACTTGAGACCTGTTTAAAAGTGTATCATCGTTGTTTTGTTTTAAACCATCTCACGTGCACAAGTTGCTGACGCCGAAAGGAGCCTTAGAGTGGGCAGTTCTGTGCTGCAGGCTTTGCAGGCTTGAGCCAGCACAGCTGTGTCTGTCGAGGTGTGATGTTGCGTGATCCCTGACTGACATAGCTGTGCTGGCTGGGAGAGCTCATTATTGGGAAAAATGCAGCATTGCTGATATAAGCTGCATCTCCACTAGGAGCGTGTTGCTGGTGTAATATTCCAGTGTAGCCATACTAGCAAAGCACCTATGCCATAGAGCCAGCCTCAGACCCAGGAGAGCCACACGTCAGTCCCCCAATGAATAGCAGCTGTGATGGTATTGGAAGTGAGGGGTAGAACTGAGTCAGGCCAGACTAATAGGAAGCTTTAGAGTTGTTGTTTCCATTTTATAGCAGCAGTATCTCCAGTGCAGCTTCTAGCTGATGCTGCTCATCCTGCCCCTTAGAAACTCCAACTCACGTCTATTGAGATGCAACAAAACTCATTCCTGTCTCCAGGTGCTGGGTGTTTGGTTTGCAACTGTCATACATAGCTGCATCCTTCTCAGTCAAATGTAACCCCCATCATCCCCGCTTTCTTGGCCCAGAGACTATTCTGTTTTTGTCCCTCCACATTTTTTTCAGCCACCAAGACTCCTCCTCCCCCACTTTATCAATTGCCAGACCCCTCGCTTTCCCCACTCACATTTTCAGCTGTATTCACAATTCCCCCCCCCCCACACACACACTTTATTTTTGGCTCTTTTCTCTTCCTATCATGGTCTCCCTCCCCAGCATCATGCTCTGCCTCTCAAACACATCTTCTCTCCCTGCAGTCCCACACCTATGTGAACACAACCAGTGGTGAGGAGGAGGTGAGGGGTCGGCACTGCATGCACTCGCTGCCTGAAGTTCACCCTCCTTTCCTGCATGGGAACCACAGCTGCTCTCTGGAGGGCCGAAACCCCCAGGTCTTCCTGCAGCCAGGGGAGGTGAAGTTTGTGCTGGGCCCTGCCCCAGTTCACAGGCACATGGTGAAACGTGACAGCTCTTGCCCTTACCATCGGGAATGTGGAGGGCACGTCTGCGCCCCTACCAACAACAACGAGTGCAAGGATGAGTGCCCCGTGCCCAGGTGCGTGTACGAGAATGTGAACGGCCTGCTGCCTGCTGGGGGCGTGTCTCTCCGGCGTGGCGGGCGCTTGAAACTCACCCGGGAGGAGCTGGGTTTAAACAGCTGCACACACCGCAGGATGCCCCTGCTGCACTACGAGAACCTGCCTTCGCTGCCTCCTGTGTGGGAGTGCCAGCCGCTGCGGCAGGATGAGGACAACGAGGACTCTGGCGACGCGCTGACTCCTTCTCCGAACGGGTACCCTGAGCTGGACGAAGAGGATCCCCTGCAAAACTACATGAACTCAGAAAGCACCATGCTGCACAGCAGCCTGCGCCGGGATGACTTCTTGCAGCACCGCCACAACTGCACACCCAGTGTCTTCAGTTTCGACTTCCGCCGGCCCTGCCCGGAGCAGCAGCGGCAGCTCAACTATATCCAGGTGGAGCTGGAGGCTGACCCTCACAAGGGGTGCCAGAGCCTCCAGGTGCCCTGCGCCCCGCTTCCTGCCTCCCACCCCGCCCGCAGGACGGACTCCTACGCAGTCATTGACCTTAAAAAGACAGCAGCCATGTCCAGCTTGCAGAGGGCGCTACCCAGAGACGATGGGACTTCAAGGAAAACTCGGCATAACAGCACCGACTTGCCTCTGTAAGGGAAACACCCAGTGCAAGCGCTGCCTTGTGGCTTTCGTATCTGCCTTTCAGTGTATCGTGTAGCGTAACTTTCGTTCTCTCTTGCCTTGATCCCCTGTTAACCCCGTTGCTCAACACAGCATCCTGGGATAGCTCCATCAAGCAGACTTTGCAATGTCTGTCAGCCTCTCCCCCCTCTCCGTTCCTCCTGTGTCGTTTGGTTTTAAAGCCTTGCAGAGCACCAGAAAAAAATATTTATTTATGTATTTATTTATTGTGTGGGGTGCCAGCAATTGAAATGGCATTAAATGGAGCATAATTCTAAACACGGACCATGGTCAATCCCCCTGCTTTCATGGCATCCATGTCGGCAGCCTGTGGAGAGAAGACAGCACAGAATTATGGGATCATTTAAAAAAAAAAAAAAACCATCGAAGGAGGCGGGGGAAAGACTGGAAATGCAAGTGGAGTTTGAGGTTTGGGATCAGTGAGCCCGTGGTGTGAATGTATCTGTCTGTCCTTTTTTGTGGATACTCAGCAATGTTTTCCATCTGTAGGTTTATTTGTTTTATTTTCTATTTATTTACGTATTTTATTTTATAAATGTTCTTGTGCATCCAAGTTAAGTGCTGAGCCTGTGGCGACACAAAGTGGATCTGTTTGGTGTTCAACTCCCTTTTTGGGGGCCAAGTATATGGAGGGAAAGTCTGATGTATCACATCCAGTTGCCTTGAGGAAAGAGTAGATGTGAATCCAAATTGTTACCTGGAATGCACTGTAGTGGGCTAGTGGGAGTGAGAGAAGAAAACATGGACACCTGAGCATAAGTGGGAGGCAGTTCTATCTAAGAAGCATTGCCTGCTCCCATATACCTTGTTGAGTCCATGTGAAATAATTGACTACAGCTTGGAACTCTCTGGTCTGGCACCCTCCAGACTTGAGTGGTCCCGAACAAGGGAGTTTGTCGGACCAGGAGAGGACAAGTGTGGGGCTGTCCTGGGGCCCCTCTCCTGGCCACTGGCCTGGCCAGTGCACTGCCCCAAGCCAGTGGCAGGGCTTCACTCCCAGCTGTTGCATTGCTGGAGGCTTCCCAGTTTCCAGCAGCTCCGCGTCCTCTGGCTGCCGGCGGCTCTATGTTCCTGGCCAGCGGTGGTGCCGCACCTCTAGCTGTAGGAGCTCCCTGCCACCGGTGGATCCGTTCCCCCAGCCAGCAGGGGCTCCATGTCCTCACCAGCAGAGCTCCGTTCTCGGCAGGCAGGGCTCCTGCCCGGTCTTGCTCTGGCTGCTGGCTGGGCTTCCTGCCCCCAGGCCATTGGCCCTCCAGGCTGCCTCAAGCTGAGTTGAGCCACATCTGCGGTCCTGCCATACCATGGATGTTGCCAGACCAGAGTGTCCTGGGCAGCAGACGTTCAACCTACAGTATTTTGACTAAATGGGCTCATTTCCTTGTATTATAGACTTGAAACACTAAATTGAGCCTTAGTGCAACTCCATCAGCTTTGAGTGGTTGTAACCAGTTACATCAAATTCAGCCCTGGGATATCCCATCACGGCCTTCTGTAGAAATTTGTGTGTGTTGCTCTACTTCCCGTCCACTGTGGGATGTTCCAGTGATAACATTGTCTGTATGATTTGATTTGCTACAGGCCACGCCAGTCTCTCCAGCATGAAGCATTATTGATTTCACTTCGCTATTCTCTGTCACTGCTATGAGATGCAAAAGAACTCTTGGAATTACATTAACTTTTGCCTCGTTGTTTTGAAACTTCCTCACCCTCTTCTGCAGGATCTGAACCATGGCCATTCAGTTTTCTGAAAGCTTTCCAAACCTCACTATGATGTCCTTGCCATTGGTATGTTAACAAACAGCGGAGTCAGTGAAAGGGAAAAGCTGGATCATCTGCTTATATCTCAGTCTTGGCAGTCGCAAGCACAATCTGTCAATTTCCGAGATTCTTTCCAGGCCTAATAGATCTAGCTTATTCTTGGTGCTCTAGTGCTGCCTTGAAAAGTGAACCTTCTAGGCCCAATGGCAAGGAATGTAGTAACAGCCCTAGACGCAAGTAAAGCTGATGGGTATCCATCTAATATCTTTACTCACAAAACCACAACTCCCCACCGTTTGTAGAGCTGTGGTTCTTCAGCGGGGCGGTGTCTGCATTACAGATACGAAACGTGCCACTAGCTTAAGAAGTGAATGAGTTTTTGCAAGCCTTAAGGTTTGGCTTCCATTCTTCCTTCCAGCTCTTATTTTTGTTCTATAACAAGCTAATTATTTTTAATATCTGAATTGACTTTCTTTATATGGAAACTGTAACTGTCAAGTAGTTTATGCCCCAAATTTAGGTTGGATTGGGGGCGAGGAAGAATTGGAGTTTTTGAAAAATAACTAAAAAAAATATTTTAATGAAAAATCTTGAGGTAATTTAAAGGTTTAAACATCACCCTCCCCTGCAGCTTTTGCACCTCATATATTGCGGCACTGGGCACAGCCTGAGAATCTTTAGCTGAAACTGATTAACCACTGCTTTGAAACTGACTTGTCTAGTTTTGCTCACTGCTGAGAGATGTGCAAAATATCCAGGCAGGTGATGCTACAGATGCACTTATGGACTACATCTACATTGCAGGCTTTTTGCGCAAGAATGGCTGTTCTTGCACAAAGACTTGAGGAGCGTCTACACTGCATGCATGTTCTTGTACAAGTAGGCAGTGTGGCCAGGCAACGGGTTTCTTTCGCAAGAAACCCCTATGGCTAAAATGGCCAAAAGCACATGGCAGGGTGGACGTACTCTTGCACAAAACAGTGCTTGCGCAAAAAGCCTGCAGCGTAGATGTAGCCACAGACTCCTTCGTTGTCCAAACTTGGATTATGAATTTCATCCTGCTTTGGCCGTGCCAAGTTTTATCTGTAGTCATGTGGGCCCTGATTCAAAGTCTGTGGAAAGATTGCCACTTACTTTGGTGGGTTTTGAATTGCCCTTTTGTGGGTAAATGTTGTTACCTATTTTAGAACTGCATTGGCCCAATCTAGCACACTCTGAAGTCAGATGATTCCTTCCAGTGACTTCACTTGCAGCCTGGATCTGGGTCTATTCTAGGCATTTGTTGCTAGCATGTTGGTCACAAATGTCCACGAAGTAAGTGGTCACAGGATAATAGTTGTCTTCTGCTAGGTGAGTGCTCTTAACATGGGGCCAAAAAAAAATGGTAGGTTTTCTCACTTCTCTGTCCTGGATTCTTAGTATGCATGAACTGCAGACTTTTGTAATTGTGCTAACAAACATTTTTAGCAGGGCTTTATCACAATTCCTCTGAACAGTCGTATCTTTCCGAGAACTAGGTTAACCTGACCATGCTGTGATGCACCTGCAAGATGCCGCAGCTGGCTTTCTCTCCTTTGTAGGATTTTTTACATAATTTTCAGACATTGCATCCATCTACCGCTCAACAGTATTAAGAGATCTGGGTACAAGTCGCCAGCACAGTTAAAGCAGAGTTGGTCTTGAAATGCCTATGAGAAATGTCTGAGGCTTCACAGGAGGCCCCGACTTGCGACGCGGGCGAAGTGTTGCAAGTTGGGGGTGTTGTAACTCAAACCCTCTTTTACGGTAGGCGTCGTCGTAAATGTGGGCTGAGGACGTAAGTCGGGGATTTCCGGCCCCTTCCACACTTACAAAAATGGTTGTGTGTGTGTGTGTGTGTGGGGGGGGGGGTTGCAAGTTGGGGGCCTCCTGTATTTAGAATGTGGTTGGTGTCCTGTTTACAGCTGTATTTGCAGTGCAGATGAAATGGAAAAAGTTGCTCGCCATATTGGCTTGGGAGACTGTCCTAGTGACCCCCACGTTGAAGATGAGCTCTTACTAGCATGGTTTAGGACAAGTCATAGTGTAGACAGATGCTCAGAACCTTTGAGAGCAAGGGGGAGGAGAGGAAAAACCAGTATGTGGCAGGAGCAATTATCCCTCTTTTATTGGGGTAGCTCCGCTCTGTGGTTAAGTTTCCTGCGTTTGGGGGCTCTGAATAGATTTAGAAGGTGTGCCTTTCTTTCTCTCTTTACGAACATGTAATAGGTTAATATTGGGACTGGCTTTGTAGTGACAGTTTCAGGACTTCAAGATCATCTGATGGAGACGGAAGGCAGAGAGGGAAGGACGAGAACCACCGAGATAAGAAAGAAGGTCTAATAAGCCATTTGTCATGTATTTGCCAGATGGGAACTGGTGCTAAGGCACTTGTGCTATTTTCTTTCATTAAATTATGGGAAGTGACCTCAGGGGACGTAGGGTCCAAGCCTGTGATTCACTGAGCATCCTCCACTCCCATTGTATCTCATTGCCTTGCCGGATCAGGGCCTAGGAGGTTTAACAGCCAAGCTAATCTAATCTAGTCCCTGACCAAAAAGGTAAAATTCTCCTTTTTGCCCCATGAGGGCCTGCTACTTAATAATGGCTAGAACTGCCCCAATATCACACAATATGACAATAACCTGAATTTCTACTCTTGCTTTTCAAGAGAAAGGGAAATAATCCCTCAGAACCTACAGGGACAGGGTAGGAATAGATCTGGGATTGGAGACATTTGTCTATTCCTTTATTTACATTTTAACCTTTCTTTTTATTGTGGATTATGGTACTGCCCAGGAACTCTTAGTGGATCAGGAGCCTCTTGTACTGGGCACTCTCCAAACAGAACAGCCAGCCACTGCCCTGAAGGGCTTACAGTCTGCACATTTCTGATGCAGTCACTCAGGAGAGGTTGACATCTTGGAAGGATGGTCTCTTCGGCCAGATCTTGTGTTGGGAGTTGGTAGGCCTGGTGTTACTGCAAGCTTTATCTGTATCCCAACCTGCGGGGTGTGTGTGTAAGCCCACACGCATTGCAGGATATCAAGCTTTCCAGTGCTTCAGGACTGAGTGAACTGCCATGCCAGTGATCTCTGTGTATGTGCGAGCCTTTGAGGATCCCAACGTGGTGTAAATGGATCAGGGTCAAGTTCCAGTCTGAAACCTGATTCAGCCCTAGCAGCTTAGAATTGCTTGATTAAAGTCTGGCACCCACTCAAAAGGCGAAGAATTCTAATGGAGGCAGCGTTCCAAAAGAAAGATCGTCGTCATGTGCTGATAGGGATCAAGGACTCTTGACACTATTGCAATAGCAGAAGGCGATTCCTTGACCATTGCACCAAACTTCTCCTGGTGGCAACCTCAGTAACTTTAGTAGGGTTGCACCAGGGATCAGCATGTTTCTTAGCATTGGAATAAGAGATTTCAGGTCCCTTCATCAGAAAGGGAGGGGCCTTCATAGGTTTCTGGAAGAAATATTGGGTTCCTTCAAATGTATCCAAAGCCATTAATCTGTACAGGTGAATGTACAGCTTGTCTGTCTTGGGAGAAGTCTAATCGGATGTAATAGATGAGGCCTGGGACCACATTGTAGGGCAGTTGTGGGGAGCATTGAATATGCCCGACTGTGTATTTCCAAAACTCTAAATGAGCCAAGAGGCTGGAATGGGTCAGGCTGGTCTCGTCATGATGCTTTTGTTAGTACTAGGGATGTTAACTAACGCGTATCTGTGTACATGTGTAACAGCTGGAATTTTTACTGCTTACATATTTACACGCAGGGACACAGGGCAGGCGGCTTTTAAGCCAGCTCCCCGCACCAGCTCCCGCCTGTCCCCCACCTGCTGCCTCTGTGGGAGGCTGGAGGGGATGGGGGGTGAAGCAGGCAGCTCTGTAGAAGGGCTCGTCACATGTACCATCTCCCGCCTCCACACATCAGAGACAGCAGCGTGGGAGAGCGAGAGGGGGAAAGGAGGTGGCTCTACAGGGTCTAGTGCTTGTGGGGAGCCTGCTTTTAAGCCCTGGCTCCCTCCTGTGCTGCTGCCTCTGTGAGAGGCAGCGGTGGGGAGGGAGAAGCGGCTCCACAGGAGCTGGCACACGTGGGTACTGGCTCCAGTCTTCCCAGGGTGCTTGTAGTTTTTAGGATTAACTGATGAGCCCCAGTTCAAGGAAGCCCCGCAGGGAGCACAGGGCTTGCGAGCCCCCCACTGGCCCCGGGCTTCTGCTTTTCAAATGCTCAAGAGCAGAATTGCAGCAGAACCGCTGGGAGCAGAGGCAGCTTCAGTCCCCGCTCACGCAGTTTCCCACTGTGCTTCTACCTCCCCTGCCCTCTGTGGAGATGGTGCTGGGAGGAGCCAGCTTCTAAGCTGGCTCCCGCCAACACTGGCCCTTGCTCCCCCGCTCTTGCTGCTCCTCTCTAATAGAGGCAGCAAGTGGTGGGGGGGAGCGACTAGTTGCATCACTGGTCGCTTGTCTGATAAGCTTATGCTTTGACAGTCGACTAGTCGCTTACATCCCTACTACCTACACTCACCAACCTTCTTTCCCCATCTGCTGTCTTGGCTGTGTTACTGTAAACTCTTCAGGGTAGGAAAAGTCTTACACTTTTAGAGTTGCATACAAAATGTAGGTATTTTCTGTACTGAACCTGCTTCAGCCCACCATAAGAGCAAAACTGAATGATGTGGTCCTGGCAGCTGAAAGTCTGGGGAACTCTGGTCTATTGTCTAAGGCATGGGGTTGGGATTAGCATTCTCATCTCAGCTAGAGACTTCCTGTGTGATCTTGGGTAAGTCGCTCTGCCGTGTGCCTCAGTTTCCCATCTGCAAAAGGGGATAATTCCTTACCTCTCAGAGGCATGGTTGGGATAATATGTTGATGAAGGCCACATACCTACATAGAGA